TCCTCCCTTTCCTACCTTCCCATCGTCGCCTTCTTTTCCTCAAGCAGAGCAACCTCCATTCGCAACTGTTCATACACGGCTCATCGTGCCGCTCCCTTCCTGCTCACCTTTAACCTCGTGTCCGTTGAAATAGGCGTAGATCTTGTGCTTTGCGGCCTCAAGGGGAGTGAAGGTGACCTCGTAGAGTCCTCGATCGATTTCGAGCGACCTCGAGGGTAAGGACCTGCCGCCTTGGGTCACGTCCACTGTGGCGTCGCCCCACCCGCACCTGGTGGCGTCTACAACGAAAGTGAAGGGTCTCCCTGGCACGGAGGATGGGCCCTTGTCAAGCTCTCGTATCTGTGAAAGTAATACTTTAATTTATAAAGTTGAGTTCAGAAATATTTGATTCTTGAATAACTGCTGCAACAGTAAATAAATAGATACCCAGTCTACTCGTCCTGTAAATCCATCACCCATCTTGATTCTTCTTCTTCTTCCTCAGCTTTCTCCCGTTTCTATACGGGGTCGCTGTTCCTGGTCAGCCGTTTCCAAACGCCTCGATTTTCATATTCACATCTATTTAGATCAATTCCTTTGCTCACTTATCACAGGAGTCAGGCGGGGCTCCTGCGCGTCGCTTCTGGGGTACGGCCTAGCAGGTTCCGAGGCGCTTTCTTGTCGGCTTTCCATTTTGGGGTTTTGGCAGAGTTTTACAGCCGGATGCCCTTCCTGCCGCTAACCCTCCCCATTCATCCGGGCTTTATCTATTACATTTAATTACCTTCGGTTTATCATTTTCAACTTTCTTGGTTTCCATATCAGCACAGTTTATTGTTTTAAACTTTCTTGGTATATCCATAACACAGCATTAACTAAAAATAGTACACAAAACAACCTGTTCAGAAGATAATTAAAGTATATTTTTTGGAATTAATGTAATTAAGAAATAAAAGATTTCACCATTTCATGAATACCTCCACGGTTGCCAGATTCTAGTAATGGCACCCAGATGGACTCACACCATTTTTGCGAACTGAGAAAATGATAGTGTTATTCTATAACAATTTATTTATTATTTTTTCGCTGTCACAGAACTTTTCATTTTGGAGTTTTTTGTAATATTTCAAACAATATCACTAAATATTCAAGATCCATACATATATTTGCATTTTGCAAATCGTTTCGAAAAAAATAGTACAAGACAATTTTTTACATATTCTCGGCGAAAATTATTACAAATTTCCATAAATATTTCAGTATTCCATAAGTATTTCAGTAAGGACTATTTTCAGAGGGATGCAAAAAAATTAGGAATAATACCCTAGGAACATCATATTAAAAGAATTAGGATGATTATGAGAATAGTAATGGTTAATGGAAAAGAAAAAGCTCTAAAACTGAACGTCGTCTTTTTCCCAGCACTGATGACTTTTAAACAATCATTGCCTGTGGCTGACTTACCAAGGTATTTTTAAAGTAAAATGAAATATAATGCTTATAAGAAGTCATATCAGTATGTATGCACAAAATTGGACTTTCATTAAAGAATTCTAAATCTTCCAGAACGATAATCAGATATTTCAAATAATTTTGTGTCTACTTCTCCTAACTCTATAACACGATCACAACAGACTTTATCAATTTATAATACTGATCGCTTAAACATTTCTAAGTGATTATGAAATAATATTTGTTATATGTCATTTGAAGATGTAAGCTGCGCAATCTACGATTAGAAGGGGACTCACTAGCTGACAGAATTACCATACAACCTGCAGAAAAAATGCAGTCAGGACTGAAGTCAGAGGCTTCGATTGTCAGGATTATGAAAACGAGCTGGTGTGTTTTTGAAATGGAGCTTTGTGGAGCAGTTGGCAACACAGAACAAATAACGAGAACAAAAATATATATCGATGTTCATTACCCTTTCTAGAAACCTGTTTCGTATTATTTGGATATAGTAGTTAGGGCAAAGAATAATAATGATGAAAATACAATATTTTGTATTGGCTTTGACTGTTTTGCGAAGTTTAGGCTTTGACTGTTTTGAGAACTTTGACTGAAATTATATGTTATTTTTATTTTTTATATAAACTATTAGTAAATAATCAGATATTAACAGAGGGATATGTATTGAACAAAACTATAATTCTACCTAGATATTGACCTTGAGAGAATGTGGATCGTACACGTGACAGGTAAAGGGTGATCCCTGGATATGTTCCTCGTCATACGTCACGGCGATGGACCACTCGCCCGCCTCGTCCGGCTGGAAGGTGGCCGCATATACGCCGTCTTCCACCTTCACGGGACAAACAAGCCCGCGGCCGGTCGGCGAGTACGCTGTCACGTCGATATCACCTCCGCCCACACCATTACTGTTAATCTAGGATAAAGAGGAGATTGTACGGATAGAAAAGAAATAAAACAAATGATGATATATACAGAAGGCAGCTGGGGAGAATGCCGTGAGGAATATAGAATGTTTGGATCATAGAAAATGTTAGGAAGATCATCA